CCCAGTCCCTCCCAGTGCTCCCAGTCCCTCCCAGTCCCATTAAACACAACCACAAGACCCATTACCCGCCCCCAGCCCCTCTCCCAGTCCCTCCCAGTCCTCCCAGTGCTCCCAGTCTCTCCCAGTCCCTCCCAGTCCCATGAAACACAACCACAAGACCCAATACCCGACCCAGCCCCTCTCCCAGTCCCTCCCAGTCCTCCCAGTGCTCCCAGTCTCTCCCAGTCCCTCCCAGTCCCATTAAACACAACCACCAGACCCAACACCCGACCCAGCCCCTCTCCCAGTCCCTCCCAGTCCTCCCAGTGCTCCCAGTCTCTCCCAGTCCCTCCCAGTCCCATTAAACACAACCACAAGACCCATTACCCGCCCCCAGCCCCTCTCCCAGTCCCTCCCAGTCCTCCCAGTGCTCCCAGTCTCTCCCAGTCCCTCCCAGTCCCATGAAACACAACCACAAGACCCAATACCCGACCCAGCCCCTCTCCCAGTCCCTCCCAGTCCTCCCAGTGCTCCCAGTCTCTCCCAGTCCCTCCCAGTCCCATTAAACACAACCACAAGACCCATTACCCGCCCCCAGCCCCTCTCCCAGTCCCTCCCAGTCCTGCCAGTGCTCCCAGTCTCTCCCAGTCCCTCCCAGTCCCATGAAACACAACCACAAGACCCAATACCCGACCCAGCCCCTCTCCCAGTGCTCCCAGTCCATCCCAGTCCCATTAAACACACTTACACCGCCCATTACCCGCCCCCAACCCCTCTCCCAGTCCCTTCCAGTCCATCCCAGTCCCTCCCAGTCCTCCCAGTGCTCCCAGTGCTCCCAGTCTCTCCCAGTCCCTCCCAGTCCCTCCCAGTGCTCCCAGTCCCATTAAACACAACCACAAGCCCCAATACCTGCCCCAGCCCCTCCCCAGTGCTCCCAGTCCTTCCCAGCCCCTCTCCCAGTCCCTCCCAGTGCTCCCAGTCCCATTAAACACAACCACAAGCCCCAATACCTGCCCCAGCCCCTCCCCAGTGCTCCCAGTCCTTCCCAGCCCCTCTCCCAGTCCCTCCCAGTGCTCCCAGTCCCATTAAACACAACCACAAGCCCCAATACCTGCCCCAGCCCCTCCCCAGTGCTCCCAGTCCTTCCCAGCCCCTCTCCCAGTCCCTCCCAGTGCTCCCAGTCCCATTAAACACAACCACAAGCCCCAATACCTGCCCCAGCCCCTCCCCAGTGCTCCCAGTCCTTCCCAGCCCCTCTCCCAGTCCCTCCCAGTGCTCCCAGTCCCATTAAACACAACCACAAGCCCCAATACCTGCCCCAGCCCCTCCCCAGTGCTCCCAGTCCTTCCCAGCCCCTCTCCCAGTCCCTCCCAGTGCTCCCAGTCCCATTAAACACAACCACAAGCCCCAATACCTGCCCCAGCCCCTCCCCAGTGCTCCCAGTCCTTCCCAGCCCCTCTCCCAGTCCCTCCCAGTGCTCCCAGTCCCATTAAACACAACCACAAGCCCCAATACCTGCCCCAGCCCCTCCCCAGTGCTCCCAGTCCTTCCCAGCCCCTCTCCCAGTCCCTCCCAGTGCTCCCAGTCCCATTAAACACAACCACAAGCCCCAATACCTGCCCCAGCCCCTCCCCAGTGCTCCCAGTCCTTCCCAGCCCCTCTCCCAGTCCCTCCCAGTGCTCCCAGTCCCATTAAACACAACCACAAGCCCCAATACCTGCCCCAGCCCCTCCCCAGTGCTCCCAGTCCTTCCCAGCCCCTCTCCCAGTCCCTCCCAGTGCTCCCAGTCCCATTAAACACAACCACAAGCCCCAATACCTGCCCCAGCCCCTCCCCAGTGCTCCCAGTCCTTCCCAGCCCCTCTCCCAGTCCCTCCCAGTGCTCCCAGTCCCATTAAACACAACCACAAGCCCCAATACCTGCCCCAGCCCCTCCCCAGTGCTCCCAGTCCTTCCCAGCCCCTCTCCCAGTCCCTCCCAGTGCTCCCAGTCCCATTAAACACAACCACAAGCCCCAATACCTGCCCCAGCCCCTCCCCAGTGCTCCCAGTCCTTCCCAGCCCCTCTCCCAGTCCCTCCCAGTGCTCCCAGTCCCATTAAACACAACCACAAGCCCCAATACCTGCCCCAGCCCCTCCCCAGTGCTCCCAGTCCTTCCCAGCCCCTCTCCCAGTCCCTCCCAGTGCTCCCAGTCCCATTAAACACAACCACAAGCCCCAATACCTGCCCCAGCCCCTCCCCAGTGCTCCCAGTCCTTCCCAGCCCCTCTCCCAGTCCCTCCCAGTGCTCCCAGTCCCATTAAACACAACCACAAGCCCCAATACCTGCCCCAGCCCCTCCCCAGTGCTCCCAGTCCTTCCCAGCCCCTCTCCCAGTCCCTCCCAGTGCTCCCAGTCCCATTAAACACAACCACAAGCCCCAATACCTGCCCCAGCCCCTCCCCAGTGCTCCCAGTCCTTCCCAGCCCCTCTCCCAGTCCCTCCCAGTGCTCCCAGTCCCATTAAACACAACCACAAGACCCAATACCTGACCCAGCCCCTCCCCAGTGCTCCCAGTCCTTCTCCCAGTGCTCCCAGTGCTCCCAGCTGGCGCGCTCACCCGGTTGACCTTGACGAGCACGCAGGGCCGGCCGCTGCCGTAGCCGTAGTCGCCGTGGGGGCCGAGGCCGGCGCAGGGCCCGAGGCGCGAGCGCTCGAAGCGGCACGCGCGCTTGGGGTAGTTGGGCACCGCGTCGTCGGGCTGCTCGTTGTAGCGCCCGGCCGCGCACGCGGCGTTGCGGGCGGCCTGCACGCTGTCG